GCGACGTCCAAAGTTAGAGCAGGAACATTTGAAACGAGTAAATTTCCAAGTTGTTGCACGAGGAGCAGCGCTATTAGCTCGAAACTACCTTTAAAACGCGGTCTTCTCGGCGTCGCGATTGTAAACGCGCGCGCCGCGCTACGTCACATCGCTTGCGTCATAAACTTGAGGACAAAAAGAGAATCCGGAGCTGTAGAAATAGAACACCGTCACCGTAGCCTCGTTAGTCCCTCTCACGATGGTCGAAATAGGGGTTGAAAGCGCTCTTGGGAGAGTCTTTCCAGCCCTCTTTCTCCCACCCTTCTTCCCTTGTCTTCCTTTGACTAGACGACCATTTTGTAAAGGGTATCTCCGCCAGCTCGAACCCTCCCTGTCGTTCTCGAAACGGTATTTCCTCGTTTCGCTCTTCGGCCTTCTTCCTTCCTCCACCCTTATTTCGTTTTCTGTTTTACGGCACAAGCTTCTGAGTTATCGGCCCCCACTCCGCCTGTTTTCTTACTCCGGTAACGATAAAGATTCAAATGGTAACGGTCTTTTTTTCTCTTCCTTGGAATTTCCCCTCGCGGGAGACTTGCGTCGTAAGACTCTCTCTTGGCTGCAGCGGCATTCGCGGAGAACACACGCGGGAGACGAGACAGCTGCGTCTGCTCGCGTCGCGGCGCAGGAATTAATTAAAATTTATTCGAATCGAACTGTTGGCCTAGCTTATCTCTGCGTCGACATCTGAATATCGAGGATGTCTCTCTCTCTCTCCTTCTCTCTTTTCCTCTCCCGTCGGTTCATTTCAATTTGTAATTCAACCAGACGGAGCTTCTAGGCACGACATGTTAGCCTCTACCGGTGCACTTTTTCACGTATTTAAAGCTCACGTGCGAGCTCGGTTCGTTTGAGAGTAGCTCGAAATTCTGGCGCGCCACTGCTGTGACATTCTTGTCGAAGGTTTCGCTTCGACAGCAAGAACGTCGGCTCTTCTGTTATGAAATATTTAAAGGAAGCTGATGTATGTATATGTACGCGTCTGCCTATGTCTCCGCGAATAACTTTCCAGCCGGGAAATTTCCGCGTTTCTTGCTGCATCTTTCACGAGCACCGCGGATTCTGGATTGCTCTCCCCGTCCCTCTCGTTGCTCTCATAAAAATTCATAGGGAGGGGTTAATCGTGTCATCGGGGCATGCATTAAAGATGCCGCGTGCTATTTCTTACGTGGACGTTCTTTCCGTACCGTTCTCCGATCTCTCGATTAAGAAAGATCGGCTCTATTGTCCGCGGATGATACACATTGAGACACTTGGTTCCTCGCCGAGAAACGAAGGCAAATTATCGGAGTTAACCCCCTCGAGTGTTCCAGCGGGGAATTTTATTGCAGGCGAAAAGGTAGCAATTTCTGTCGATCTTATCAGGCATATCCGCGATCCTATCTATTCAAATAGCTCGAGGGATTAGGAATTGGATGTATCCTGGGCTGTGCCCGAACGAATTCCGTGTACTATAAGCTCGATTCTCCGTTTGCAAGAATAGGAACACGCCCATTTTGTTTACCATCCTCTGTATCGCGGCACTGTTCTTTCGATAAGGCCGATACCGTTGACCCAGATACGAAAGGGAAACGCAGAGAGAGAGAGAGGAGGTAAATGGACGGTCGTTTCCGTTTAATTAAGAAATAAATCCGCGTAACAGAGCACGATCATTCGAGACGACGAGGGTAACGAAAGTCGCCTCGCGACGTGGAAAATAATTTGCAAGGAGGGTGCCTGGTGTTCGTAAAAAGGAAACGGTCGCGAATCGCGGGATGCTCGTGGCAAGGTGTTCCTTAGACGCCGTTGAAGCCTGTAATTTTTATCAGGCGACAGCATCGTCGAGTTTCAATTACGAGAGACGAGCTCGTGGGTTTAAGCAGCGGCGAAGAAAGGGACGCGTGGTGTACGTCCACGCAAAATTCTCTGGTATATAATAATAAGATAGGAGAGGTCGATGCGAGAGTGCAGCTTCGGAAATTGCAGGTTACGACGCTCGGGTGACCCGTAAGTAAGCAAGTTTATACCGATTGTACCGGAGCCTTGTGCATTCCTTCTGTAACTTACTTTCGTTATCGCGCTCGACGAGTATCGACAGTTTTGTCAGGTTGAAACTGCAGCGTGAATTGAAAAGAAAGTATTCCGTTACTTTTGGAAGCGCGATAAATTTGACGGGGGAAGTTGCGCAGTTGCATCGAGATTAGGGGACGAGCTCGTCGTCGTCTGGTCTCAACATATTAGGCTCAATTTCCAAGCTAGCGTAATCAGCGAATCAGCGTAATTACTTCTGACTGTCGTTAAACTCTGGAACACCGTTTCGTTGGCGGAATCGCGGCTGCAATTGGAGCGAACGCCTCTCTTCTCTGGGTTGAAATCCAGAGAAATTGTTTAATCTTTCGCGTACGGCTGATTAGAAACAAACGACGAAAGATGAGATAACCGCAGAATACTCGATAGAGGGATAACGAGCATTGTTTGGCCACGCACCGGCTGAAAGGGTCTCTAATTAAGGAAACCACCGGTGGCTTTGTGCGTGAAATGTCACATGGACCGCGAAACAAAAGACCTGTTTTCGTGGTCTTTGAAAGCGTACTACGCGATATTGGCTGCCGATTTATTACGATTCCGCGGCGGGGAGTTAACGATTTAACGTGGTGAATTAATGTCGGGCAAAAGCTCCCGTTAAAACTCCGGGATTCGTCGGAGAAATTCATAAGGGGGCTCTATAAAGCGCGACAATTCTCCCCCGTCGAGTATAATTTCAGGAAAGAAAGAGAGACGTGGAAGGGCAAGAAATCAATGTCTTCGATTTCTCGTCTCGTAGAGGCGACA